GGAATGCAAATTGCCGTTACTCTGCCAGGGCTCACGCGAGCGCCGTCAGCAAGCATTTCCTCTATTAAAGGCAGCGTGCATCTCTTGGGGCTGCAGCAAGCATTAACCCTTGTTCCTGTGAAAGCCCCCCTGCAGCAGAGGGGTCCTTGCCGTGCACTGGGCACCGTTTCTGGTCCTGCCAGGCCAGCGAAGCGTCCCAGGGGCTGATGCTCCTCTACTTGCTGGCTAGGTGCTCTCCTCTGCCGAGCAGCCCCAGGAGCTCAGCTGGGAGAGGGCAGAGGGGCAAGAAGTACATTTCTGGGTCTGTCTTGGTAAAATGACCAAACCTGCTGTTTCCTTCCAATGCACGGGGGAGTGGGGATATGTTTCCACGTGCTCCTGCCCGATGCTGCACCGAGGTGCAGACCTGCTCTGGGGTTCTGCTGAGCCCGGCCCCGAGAGCTGCTGGAGACAGGAAGGAAAATGAACTGTGCTCAAGATAGACACGTTTGTTGCTCTATATTTAGGAGTATAATAATTAAGGCTGGTTGTTTATCCTGACAAACATGGTAATTAATAGTCTGTGGCAGACAGGCAAATCCTTCCTGCACCTGGGAACTGTGAGTTGTCTCTGGGAAGGGCGAGGGCCTCGTTAAAGAGCTGCTACTGCTTGTGAGAAAAGCTGCTATTTAGGGAACATCTGGCTGTGTGCTTTGTCCCCTCCCCAGCCATGCGTGGCTGGGTGCTGGTGGCCTCTGAAGCCACGGTGAGGGTGCTTTTGTGCTTGGCCCTTGTGTAAGGACACAGAGCAGGGGGGTCCTGCCAGTCCCACGGAGCAGAAGGCTGATGTACGGGAGGTGATGGGTGGGCAGCGCTGCCAGGGGCCGCACAGGGGAGAGTGAGGATGCCTTTTGGCACCCAAGGGTGCAGTGGTATAGGTACCAGTGTGCAGAAGCTTGTTCATAAATGCAGTAGGAGTTCTTGTTGGTTGGTGGCACAAGCTGGCTGGGCACTGGCAAGGCATCTCAGAGGGCAGGGAGGTGGCAGGCAGCTGGGTTAAGCTTTTACCAGCCTGGGAAGGGAGGGTAAGAAGCTTACGAGGACGGGTGGCTTCACACTCTTCCCACTAGATGGGGATGGAGGCATTGCACAGAGCGCACCGGAGCTCGCCTCGATGCCGCCCGCAGAGAGCACCCGTGCTCGGCCTTCACCCCTGCACCTTCTCCGGGTGGGCACCATGGCAGCAGCCCAGCTCTCCCGGGGGGCTCAGGGCTGACGGGGTCTCGCTTCTCTCGCAGATGCTGCAGGACTGCCCAAAGGCCCGCAGGGAAGTAGAGCTGCACTGGAGGGCATCGCAGTGCGCGCACATTGTCCGCATCATGGACGTCTACGAGAACCTCTACCAGGGGAGGAAGTGTCTGCTCATCGTCATGGAGTGGTGAGTCCCCGGTGCCGCCGCTGCGGGTGGGCTCTCCTCACCGGAGCGCCTGCAGCCCTGCGGGGCAGTGGGGTGATGCCAAAAGCAGGGTGAGCACCTTTCTGCACCCCTGCCGGGGTGCTGGGGACCCTAGGGAGATGCTGTGCTGGGGGAGGCAGCCTGTGAGCCATAGGGATGCAAGCCCTGGAAGAGGTGCCGCATCGCTGGCGTTGGAGGGACGGCGGGAGCTGCGCTGGCTCTGAGTCATTCTGAAAACTCGCTCGGCTGTTGGGAGGCTTCGGGCCTGTGGTTCTCACTGCAGATACTTCATAACCAAACTCGCTTTGGCCATTGAAAGTTGGGGTAGTCAGCGGGTTCCTGGCACCCCAGCAGCCTGCGGTGGGGTCTGCTGGGCAGCACGCAGCCAAACTGAGCTGACACATCTGTTAGCGCTGTTGCGCCTCTTGCAGCAGCAGTTGAGCGGCTCTGATTCGGGTAGATGTTTGATATAACCTGGGGAGGAGGAGGAATGAAGGGGAAAGTATTGAAACCACATCCCAACCGCAGCTGTGATTTGATGCAGCTTCCTTGCCAAAACCTCTCCTCTGGCAAGCCAGTAGGTTGCCTGGGGGGGCAGTGGGTGCGAGGAGTGCTGCGAGCAGCGCCGGCGCAGGCGGCACGGCAGTTACCCGAGTGGCTCTTGTGTGGGAAGAGGCTTCTGAGAATAGTGCCAGAACGCTGGGCAGTCGGGGATAGGAAAGGTTTGTGCAGCGCATCTGCTTGTGTGGGAAGAAAGCAGTAGCTGAACGGTAGGAACTGAGTCCCCGGGGCAACGACAGCTCCCTGCAGCGTGTCTCTGCGAGAGCTCCACCGCTGTCTGCGGGATGTGCTGGGTGTAACGCCTGTCAAGAGGCAACGTTTGACTTTCAGCGTGAGCACGGTGTGTCTCCTTGTGCGCTCCATGCAGCGGTCAGCCCCGGCAGCTGCGTGCTATCTGTATTGCAGGTGTCCAGCAAATGTCAAGGGTGCTGGCAGGAGATGTTATCTGCGCTGGGAAAGCCAGAAACCATTTCTGCTCAAGTTAGATAAGGCAGGGACAGGAAGCACCGTTATCCCTGTTCTCATGGAAAATTATCCCTGATCTCACTCCTGATCTCTCTGGGAGCCGAGTTTTTCCTTAGGCTACCTGGGGAGCCTTTGGCTGGGGAGGGAACCACACCAAGGTTTCTGTGGTCCTTCTCTGACGCCTTATGTGAGAGCTTGCTCTGCTGCAGTGGGGTTCAGTCTCTGCCTCCCCCATCCTATCATGAGCCCATGTCCGTGCTGCTGACACCGTGCCCGTGCACTTTGCTCAGCACTTCTGCACGGGGTTAGCACACTGGTAAGGTGGTTGGTTTGTGAGCTAAACAAGGTCAGGCATGCCGGGAGCGCTCTCGTCACATTCGAGCCACGTTTGCTGTCTTTACTGTAAATGTGTTTCTGTGGGCTGGTGGGGAGACCACGTCCTCTTGCACCCGGCATCTCCGCTGCTAGTGCGAAGCCTCTGCCCTGCTCATTTCTGGAAGGAGGAGGCTCTGAGACACCCTGTGCCCAGATGCAAGGGCTGGGATGGAGTTCGTTTCTTGCTGAGCTTGTGCAGCTCCTGGCTGAGCATCAGAGGTTTTGGTACTGCTTGCGCCAGGGCATGAGATGGGCGCCGCAGCACCTAACACCGCCTGCTTCTCTTCCAGCTTGGATGGCGGGGAGCTCTTCAGCCGAATTCAAGACAGGGGAGACCAGGCCTTCACAGAACGGGGTACGGAGCCTGTGGGGACCTGGGGTTTTGTCTTTGGACCATTTCTTGCTGTTCATAGGAGTGTCTCTGGTCCAGCTCATTCCCTCAATCGTTCTTCTGAATCTCCAGCAGGGTTTTGCTCTTGGGGAATGAGGAACGTGGGTGCAAGCGGCCCTGCTTTTCACGCTCACTTGAGAGCAGGGTTAGGGGGTGTTTTCTCAGCTGCCCCTGCTCTTTGTCCATCCCACTCCAGCACAGGCAGGAGCTTCAGTGACCTACAGAAACACCCACCCCCCTCCAAAAAATGGAGACCAGGTCCTGTGGTTCTCATAGAACTCCTGAATCTCATCCCCTCTGCTCCTGTGGCCAGGAAAAGTGTCCACACAACCCAAACCCCAAGCCTGTTGCCCCCACATCCCACAGGGGACAACTTTCCCAGCTGGTTTCCCTGCAGATCTGGGGTCCCTAGCGGTGCCAGCCACCGCAGAGCAAGCCCCTCCTTGGGGCTTGTGTGGTTGGGTATTGGGATCAGCGGCTGGAGCCTGCTCCATCCCTCCTCCCGGGAGTTTCTCTCCCGTTTGCTGCAGGCTCTGACCCGGGGGTGGGTGCTGGGCAGGGGGGCTCCTGCTTGGAAAGGGGGCCTTCAGGTGGAGGGAACCCCTTTGGCCTCAGCTGTGCTCTTTGGCTCCTGGTCTGTAGAGTAGCCCAGGGAGTGGTGCTCATTGTAACTTGCTTATAAAGGCTTCTGATTTTTTTTTTTTTTTTTTTTTTTTTTTTTT